TGCTGCTTTATGATGTGGGAATACATATGGGCAAAGGAAGTGGGCTTGTGAAGAAAACTTTAGGAGGACAGCATGCCTGCAAGCATGATGACAGAGAAATACTCTTTGCAGTGGAAGCATTGAAAATCTGGACAGGATTAATTTCTGATGTTGCAGTTGATTGTTCTGGATGTGTGTTTTTTATGTAATCATAGTGAGTTGTAAATATCCAAAGTGTTTCTTGCTCAAGTTGTAGTGATACTGAATTTTACTTGGTTTTTAAACTATGCAAGAGCTAACTAATAGTATTTTATGTAGTATTTTAAGGGTACCATTGATTCGCCATTGATTCGCCATTGATTCATGTAGCATTTTAATGATTTATATAATATTTTAATTGTGTATTTTGTATTGTATTTAATAATCTGGTTTCATGTATTTGTTTGTCCTATATGTAAAAGACCTGTGGTCTAAGTGATATCGAGCACAAATTTGGAGGACCTTGCCTTGAAGACATGCATGATGGGTAAGATTAGTGGATTTGAAAAGAAAACAGATATGAATGTGTGAGATGTGCAAATGGATAACAGGAAGATGACATAACTCCCCAAGGCTTCAAAGCAATTTTCAAGTGAAAAAAAGTCAGGATTTTGTAGAATCTACCTTTCTCCCAAACCTAAGTAATGATTTAGCATCACAGTAAATCTGGGCTATTGGATTACATGCTTTTCACACACACACACACACACACACACACACACACACACACACACAGTGAGCAAAAATGAAGTTCCAAGGTTTGGAGAAGCTGTCATTGGAAATTTTCAGAATTCTTGATTTTGAAAGAAAGATTCCAAGCAGCAGCATATGTTTTTCAAACAGGAGACTGGCTATCCTGCCTCAGAACTAGATTATGGAAAGTCCAAAAAGTAGAATAAAAATCTAAGAAACTTCTAGAAAATGGGAGGAGTTATTAGAGAGGTACTCTTAAATGGTAACACTTCCTCAAAATATTAAGTTTTCATGTTGCTTTTGGCCTTTAAACCTTAGGGCACACACATGCAGTCTCGTTCTCTGTTCATGCTGTCTTTATATAACATCCAGTGGTTCCCAACCTGTGGTCCGTGGACCACCAATGGTTCACAATACTGAAAATATAGTCCACGGCCTCATCTTTGCTACACCGTTGCCTCTAAACAATAAGCGTGACTGATCTAGCAAAACTCTTTTATAGTGCCGAGGCAACGGAGATGTCGGGAGGAGAGAGGCTGACCATCCACAAATGATTACTACTACCTTATCAGCTCTAGATTATTAAATATGGTTTTCTGTGGGTAAACAGATGGTGACTACTGAATGGCATATGTTCTGTATCAAAAACTAGAGATGATGTGATCTATCAATGCAATTTTCTGAATCAGCTACACAAATAACCAAACCAAATCTAAAATTGACCAAAAAAAAACTGATTTGTAACCCTTTTGCTACTAATGTTGGAGAATGGTCCCTGATCAAGTGGTCCCAGGTCAACAAAAGGTTGGGAACCTCATACACACACACAATGTCCCTGAACTCTGATAACCTTTTAATAATAATAAAAAGCTTTCTTTATACCCCGCCACCATCTCCCCAAAGGGGACTTGGGATGGCTAACATGAGGCCAAGCCCAAAAATAACAATACAACAAAACAAAGTTCAAAGAAACAAAATAGCATCATAATAAACACATGAAATGACAAAATAAAATAAATAGTCTTAAAATGACATGATAGAGAGATAAAACTCGGGGCAGGCCAAATGTGCTAAGAATAAACTTGATAAAATTGGTAAAACCCTGGGTGAGATAAGAGGAATGGGGAGAACGTGTTACTGAGGGAGGAGCTCAGAAGGGACAAAGAAAGAGTTAGGCTTTCATTGAGGGCGGGGGGGGGGGAGGCGAAACTGAAGTTGGGACACACAATGTATGGGGTATATCTTCACATGCCAAAGGCACATCAGAAGAGCCAAGTTTTTAAGTCTTTCTTGAAGGCTGCCAGGGTAGGGGCTTGCCTAACCTCACTTGGGAGCAAATTTCAGAGTTGTGGGGCCACCGCAGAGAAGGCTCTCATTGCAAGCAAACAATTCCCCAGATATAGATATAGATATATATTACTTGAGTCATTTTGTAAGTATTCCTTCTGATAAAGAAATATCCACCGTCTTGAACTACTGAGAAATAGTCAGCTCTCCATATTTGCAACTTTAACTTATGGAATCATAGAATAAGGGCCATCAGGTCCACCCTCATTCTCCCATGCAGGAAGACACAATCAAAGCACCCCCAACAGATGGCTATCCAGCCCTTGCTTAAAAACCTCTAGAGGAGGTTATATTAGTAGTATATTCCACTGCAGAACAGCTCTTAGTGTCATTTCAAATGTTCTGGTAGGGATCTCTCCCCCCCCCCCCCCCCCCCCCCGCGCGCAATTTGAATCAATTGCTTCTTGTCTTTGGGTCCTTCCACACAGCCCTATATCCCAGGATATCAAGGCAGAAAATCCCACATTATCTGAGTGGAATCAGATAACCCAGTTCAAAGAAGATATTGTGGGATTTTCGGTCTTGATATCCTGGGATGTAGGGATGTGTGGAAGGGCCCCTAGTCTCCAGAGCAGCAGGAAACAAGCTTGCCCCTCCTCAATGTGACATCTTTTCAAATATTTATACATGGCTATCATGTTCACTCTCAGCCTTCTTTTCTCTGAGATGAACATAACCAGGCCCCTCAGTTGTTCCTCATGGGCTTGATTTATTACTATCTTCTCTCTAGGAATGTATAGATGCTTTAGTTCAATTCTATGGTCAACTTCCACTAGAGATTCCTAAAGAGGTATCATCTGAAGGTTTTAAAACCTTTTTACAGTTGATTTTTCCCACTTTCATGGGGGCCCTGTGCCCATTATCTCCACAAAATGAACATATGCTTATAGGTATATTGTAGTCTATATAGAATTACTAATTTAAATATAAATACATCTCATAATAGCAAAACACATTGTGAACAAGTAACAATATACCTGCTCATTCTGTCACCCAGGTGTTAAACTGTTGTTGAGCAAAGTTTCACCTTCTTCTGGGTCTTTATTTTAAAAGCATGCTGAGTTCCCTTTCATACTACATAGCTATATCATTGATTCCATTCTAACTCTAAGTATTCATCCATTTCAAGAAATCCTGCAGTTTGCAGATTAAGAAGGGGGATTTAGCATTCACATTCAGAATTATTTTGGGAACCAAAATAATCACCAAACTACCAATTCCAGAATTCCATAAGATGCAATTAATGTAGAATCCTAATGGTATGAATTGAGAGACATGGTTTTGGATCCCCTTCAAACGGAGGTTTGGACACATGCCCATCCAAGTCATTTCCTTTGTAGCTAATTGCCTAAAACTACACATTCCCTTAAAAAGTTATTTCAATATAATACAACATTCTCTGCCTAGTGTATCTTCCCTTCAGAAATGCTGTTGTTGTGGCATTACAATTCACAATGTGTTCCCTATCATTTGCACTTCCCTTAGAAAGAGTGGTGATCGGAAATAGAAAGCCCTTCCAGACAGGCCCTATATCCCAGGATGTGATCCCAGGTTTTCTGTTTATCCCAGATTATCTGGCAGTGCAGACTCATATAATCCAGTTTAAAGCAGAAAAGCTGGGGTCACATCTTGAGATATAGGGCCTGTCTGGAAGGACCCAGAGACAGCTATTGCTTTATGCTGAATTGAGTCAATGGTCGACTGAACTAAGCATATTCTACACTGGGTGGCACTGGCTCACCAAGGTTTCAGGTAAGCCTTTCCAAGCTCTCCTCAGAAATGCCAGGGCATGGACCTACCTGGTTGCAAAGTATCTGCCCCTTCTCCTCCTCCTCCTCAACACAGATCTTCTCAAACCCAAACACAGGTGAGTTTACTATACTGTTTGGCATGAGGCCTACTGGGGCCAGCTGGAGACAGGTGAAGACAGGGTTGCAATTAGATCATTTGGAAGTTGGACAGGAAGGAGGGCAGGAATTTATACTAATGTAGACTCTGCCAATATCTTTGATTTCCACCAATATTTTTCCATGTTTCTAAAGACAATACATATTTGTCTGTGTGGGTAAGCCTTCAGAGTTATGTTGCTTTCCCTCAATTCAACTACTGCCTAACTCACCAAGGCTTTCAATGTTTACGTGCTGACAGCAACTCACCTACAGACCAGTAATTGTGGATAAAAGCTATGAGAAAATGGTTCTGAACTTGGACACATTGTTTTCAGGACTACATTTCCCAACATCCCCAACCAAACAGAGCTCCCAAAATAATTTTCCAAAGGTCTGGGAATAATCCTGGCAAGCTCTGGGCTTTGTGAAGATCACTTTGGGTAAATTATTTTGTTAAGTCTTACTCTGACAACTACTTGCTTCAAAGTAGTACTTTAGGAAAATGTCTGGATATGTTTCAATCGGCTTCCGGTAAGTAAATGTAATTCTCAGCGGAAAACAAAGGATCAAGTGAGTAAATGATTCTATTGCTTGTTTTGATTCAAATGGGAGCGCTTTTAAAATAGCCAGACGATTTGAGAGGATTTCCTCCTGATGACATCAGACATTACGGACTGATATCCTGTACCAAGGTTTTTCTTTATCTCTTTGCATTTGTTAGGTATCCTTAAGTGAAGAAAATAAAAAAGGTAGGATTGGAGAAAGTACTGGCAAGGACCATAGCATTATTAATTTTGGCCTTTTCATCAAACTGTTTGCAGGAGATTGCTGCTTGTGCCTGAACAATTCTGAAATTTAGGTCAGGAAAACAAAAACAGATCAAATTGCAAGACCTTGAAAATTATTTTATAGACTGCAGACTGTTGTCCCGTGGTATAAATCTTGTTGTATTGATGGAAATAAATGGGAGATTGAGACAAAACCGATTCATCGTATGATCAGTTAAGTACTGACAAGTATACAACATCATGTGTTTGTAAGTTTCATTTCATATCTTGACAAACAGCGGGGAGGTCTCTCGTTTGCTTTTCCTGCATTTCCTGCTTTCTTTGCTCCTATAGGTGGTTGGTGGAAGCCCTATTTATAGCACTAAAAAAAAGAGGAAAAAAGCTCTTCTGGAGGCAGGAAAACCAAGTCAGGAAAGAATTGGAGGAAGTGTTGCTGCCATTTCACCAAACAATTTGAAGTTAATTGAGCTGGAGAACTCACTAACGTTGCCATTGTTGTTAAGATTGTGAAGTAAGCACAATTATTTGGGTTGCTTTCGGGAATGTTCAGAAGGGCAGCTTGAACAAAGAGGGTCATGGAATGAAGAACTCTCCTCCAGCTACTCCATGTTCCAGAGAGCAGAAAAAGAAGAGAATCTGGATCAGAAAACAGAGAGGCGTCTTGCGTCTAGATTACACATACCTTGAGGTAAGAGTCTTCTAGCTTAAGAGGCCATGTCTTGCTTTAATTCAGAAGTTCGGTGTCACATCTGATTTCAGTAGAGGTGGAAGGAGCTTTTAGTCAAGTAAACAGTGGTAACATGGTATCCAAATCCCTTGCTCTTAGGTTCATTCAAGCAAAAAGTGCAAAACTTGGGGAAAATAACTTTTGGAGACAGCTCCCAGGATCTTCCACACAGCATGGCCAATTGTTTTAAAAGGTGCTCCTTTTGAATACAAAACCTGGGAAAGTTACTTTTTGGTCACAACTAACCCTAACCATAACCCCCCCCCCCCAACCATCATTGATAATGCATTAGGTTGTTTGTTTTTACAGAATCTGGGAAAGTTAGATCTTTGGTGGTCAGTTCCTAGAATCTCTTAAATGAATGAATAAAAAAGAAGTGGACTGTAAGATAATTGTTCTGATTCTATTATTGTAAATATAATGTCTTTAGAATTGATATTGATAAAAAAATAAATGAAATTTATTTTTTACCCACCACTTGCTGTTGCTCGAGGTATAAGGAGAGGTGGGTACATGGCTTAGAGAATGTGTCCAAGGATGCCTCTCCATTGTAGAAGTAATGTAGTTTGACACTGTATAACTGCCATGGCCCAGTGCTATGGAATGATAGTTGTAATTTGGTGATGCATCATCAGCCGTTGGGAGAGAAGGCTAAGAAGCTTACGAAACCACAGCTCCCATAGTTCCATAGCATAGAGCCATAGCAGTTAAAGAGATGTCAAACCATTGATTCTACTGTGTGTAGATGCACCCCAAGTTGGAGAGGGTGTGACCCACAATGCAAAGCTCTTCCTGCTGCCTAGAGACCTTTGGCCCCTTCATGCTACACAAAGCAATACAATTCTACATGAACTGCTATGGCAGTATCCTATGGAATCCTGGGATTAGTACTTTGAGTAGGGGCAAAAGCCAGAGAGCCCTGGTTCTGCACCAAACTGCATGTCCAGTAACCAGACATGGGCAAATTTCAGCAGTTTTGGACTTCATCAGTTTTGGACTTCATCTCCCACAATTCGTAACAGCCTGCAAGTCCAAAACACCTGGAGGGCTGAAGTTTGCCCATGTTTGTACTAACCCATAGGACAGAACAGTGGAAGCTAAAAAAGAATGATAGTGATATGCAGACAGACCTCAGCTGACAAAGCCTCTTAACAAAGCAGCTCCTTTTTAACAAAGTCTTTTTAGATGCAACCAGACCACTTTTTCTTTCTTATTGTTTTGCTAGCTGGAAGTACAGGGTTTTTTAAAAAAATGGTTTTGGAATCAGGAAGATAGTAAAGGAGGGTTGAAGCAAGACTGATTTGCAGTGACTGGTTGCAGATGTGTGTCTAGAGTTAAGAGCATGATGCTAGTATTAGCCAAGTATAACCAATGTTGTTTTTACTTTGCATGTTCTGTGTTTTTTCCCTGGGAACCTCTCTGACTCCCCTCGGGGAGATAGAGTGGTATATAAATAAAGTATTATTATTATTATTATTATTATTATTATGTGGTTACACACCTTTTTTGTAGGTTTTCTCAATTTTAAAAGGGAAAATGACTCTTTCAAAGCTTAACTATTGATAGGAAAAAATTCTATTTAAAAGGTAATACAGAGCATTTTTAGTACCACTGTTTTTCTTTGTCCCTGTCTCCTACTTCAAACTACAAGAAAGGAGATTCCACCTAAACATTAGGAAGAACTTCCTGACTGTGAGAGCTGTTCAGCAGTGGAACTCTCTGCCCCAGAGTGTGGTGGAGGATCCTTCTTTGGAGGCTTTTAAACAGAGGCTGGATGGCCATCTGTCCGGGGTGCTTTGAATGTGATTTTCCTGCTTCTTGGCAGGGGGTTGGATAGGATGGCCCATGAGGTCTCTTCCAACTCTATGATTCTATAATCCTGAGACATTTTGGTCATAGTTTGATGGATGAATCAGATTGTGGATGTATGAGTGGATAGGTAGGTAGATGATAGATAGATAGATAGATAGATAGATAGATAGATAGATAGATAGATAGATAGATAGATAGATAGATATTTGAGTGTTAAAGTCTGTATTAGGATCAAAAAAACAGCGTCTCTTCTATAGGTTGAAAACCTTGGCTTAGGTTAGCATTCCTCAGATGGCAGCTCTCCTGCTGCACGACAAATGGCTTTTGATATTCAGAGGTGTTTCAAAGCAGCTTATGAAACAGCAGCACTTCTGCCATTCAGAGTAGAAAAGGAGGGGCAAGAATTCCTTGAGCCTCTATAAGCTCTTGGCTGTTTTTCAAGGTAGATCTTTGGGTCCTAGCTGATGTGTTTCAGCTGAGAGCAAAGTCAAACAGTTTGGTTCCTTCACTGAAGATGTATGTCTTGTCTTGTGCCCAACTAGGAGGTAGTCTCATGACTTGAAAAATGGAATCGCACAGGCAGTTGAACAATAAAAAGATTCAGGGCACTCCTCAGACTGCAGCTGACACTAATATTTAAAAGTTTTTTTAAAAAAATATATTTTGCTATTTCTGGGTGAATCCTTTTGACTAAGATAGCTTTGTTAATGCCTTAATGGTGATGCCCTTTTTATAGACACTTTCCATACCCATGTCATTTTCTGCTGCACATACATTTGAAGGTAAAAAAGGATGGGAATTTTTGGGCATAACTTGGAAAATGTACTCTTTTTACAACTTCCAGATACTCCATACATCCCATTCAAACTATGGTTTTTCCAATCGCTCTGGGACAATTTGGGACACAACTCCAAAAGTTAACACTAGTCATTCTAGCTGGGAGATTCTGGAAGTTGTAATAAAAAAAATAAAAATAAAAATTCAGGATCTGCCAGCCCATGATAGAGCAGTTTGTTGAAGCAGAAGAGGTGGTGTATATATAGTAAAGGTAAAGGTTTCCCCTGACATTAAGTCTAGTCATGTCTGACTCTGGGTGTTGTGCTCATCTCCATTTGTAAACCAAAGAGCCGGTGTTATCCGTAGACACCTCCAAGGTCATGTGGCCAGCATGACTACCTAGCGCTCTGTTACCTTCCCATACAAGTGATACCTAATTGATCTATTCACATTTGCATGTTTTCAAACTGCTAGGTTGGCAGAAGCTGGGACTAACAGCAAGAGCTCACCTTGCTCCCCGGATTTGAACTGCCAACATTTTGGTCAGCATGTTCAGCAGCTCAGCGGTTTGACCTGCTGTGCCACCAGGGGTATGTATATACAAAACTCTAATTCAGAATGGGGAGAGAAAAGTCCTTTCCTACCATGTGGAAAATCCAGATTGCCATTACAGTTCACTGGAGAATGAAGTGATCTTGTTCGTTACTACAAGTGGCAACTCTGTTCTATAATGAGGAGACAGTCTTGCAAAACCGAGAACCACAGAGTGCAATTGTTTCTGCTTCAGAGCCTGTTGCAATGTTTTTATGCTGCGGTTGGCAACAATAATGCAGAGATTAACAAGTCAAAATGACAGAAGGACTAAATGTTACTGTCGTTATCTCCAAGGGTGATTGAAAAGATATTTCCCCTGCATCCATACATAAATGTTTTATGATGGTAGACTGGTATGGGAATGAGAAGCACTATGGGAGTAAAAAGCCCTTTCTTCTCCGTTTCTGTCATTCTTTATGTGGAATTTTAATCACGCTGCACTTGATGACCCACCTGACTCTGGAAACAACATGAGCTCTTTTTCCATGTTAACTGAGAAAGCTAGTAATATATTAAACCTCTTTTCCATTTAAAGCCAAGTACTTATACAATGTGGTATTGCTTAGAAAATCCTCCAGAATGTGGATTAAATCAATTGGGCGTGCCTATCACAAGACCATGGGGTGGTGGTTTGTATTTGTTAGCATTTGCCTTTGTAATGCTGGCTTGAGGGTTGCTTCTCATCATATGGCTGGTTGGTGCATAGATGCTTCGGGGAGGGGGGGGGCTCTATGGGGCAGCCATTCCTCTAACTTGGCCATGGTAGTCCATGCTCTGGTTACATCCTGTATAGACTACTGCAACACGCTCTACATGGGGCTGCCTTTGAAGACTGTTTAGAAACTTTGTTTAGAAACTTCAAATGGTCAGCATGCGGCAGCCAGGTTGCTCATTGGGAACATACAACTCCCCTGTTGCATCAGCTCCACTGGCTGCTTGGTTGTTTCCTGGCACAATTCAAAGTGCTGGCTGTAGCCTATAAAGCCCTAAACAATTCCGGCCCAGCTTACCTGTGTGAACGTATCTCTCCTTATGAACCTAGGAGTTTAAGATCGACTGGGGAAACCCTGCTCTCAGTCCTGTCTTGGTGCGCTTGGCAGGGATGAGAAACAGGGCCCTCTCAATGGTGGCCCCTCAGCTGTGGAACTCCCTCCCTAGGGATATTAGATTGGCCCCCTCCCTCCTGACCTTCTGGAAGAAAGTAAAAACCTGGCTTTTTGAACAAGCCTTTGGGAATGCAGTGCTATAGACAATCACAGATTTATGTGGAACTGAATTGGAATAGCTCAGACAATGTTTTTTTGGATGAGATGAACAGTGAAGGCATTGGTTTTATATGTTTTTAAATGGTTTTTATTGTATAATTTTATTAATGGTTTAAATGTTTATATTTTATACTGTATATGGTCACGGCATAGAATAGCTGCCTATGTTGTAAAGCCACCATGAGTCACCTTCGGGCTGAGAAAGGTGGGATAGAAATATTGTAAATAAATAAATAAATAGAGCTAGCAATACTGGCTTAGCAAGATGTTTGGCTTACTTTCACATCAAGCTTAACTTGACACTTTCAAGTTGACACTTTTGGAGTTCAGAATAGAGAAACTGCTTTGGGAGACAGTGGTCGGGCATCCGGACAACATGGCCGGTCCAGCAGAGTTGATGGCAAAGGACCATTGCTTTAATGCTGGTGGTCTTTGCTTCTTCAGGCACGCTGATGTTTGTCCGCTTGCCTTACCAAGAGATTTGCAGGATTTTCCGGAAGCAGCACTGATGGAATCATTCCAGGAGTTGCATGTGACTTCTGTAGACAATCCACATCTTGCAGGCGTATAGCAGGGTTGGGATGACAATAGCTTTATAAACAAGCACCTTGGTATCCCTACGGATGTCCCAGTCCTCAAATATTCTTAGCTTCATGAAAAATGTTGCACTCGCAGAGCTCAGGCAGTGTTGAATTTCAGTGTCAATGTTGACTTTGGTGGAGAGGTGGCTGCCAAGATAGCGGAAATGATCAACATTTTCTAATGTTACGCCATTAAGCTGGCATTGAAGAGGGATTGGTCGGTGACTGCTGGAAGAGCACTTTGGTTTTCCTGATGTTCAGTGACAAGACGAGCTTCTTGTATGCTTCTGCGAAAGTGTTTAGAGTGGCTTGTAGGTCTTCTTCTGAATGCGCACAGATGATGTTGTCATCAGCATACTGGAGTTCGATAATAGATGTTGTTGTAACCTTGGTTTTGGCTTTCAGTCTCCTGAGGTTAAATAGCTTGCTATCTGTCCGATAGATTATTTCCACTCCAGTAGGAAGCTTCCCATCAGCAAGGTGAAGTATCATAGTGATGAAGATGGAAAATAAAGTTGGGGCAATAACACATCTCTGTTTGACACTTGATTCCACCTTAAATGGGTCACTTTGGGAGCCATTGCTCTCCAATACTGTTGTCATCATGGAGGAGCTGCAGGATGTTTACAAATTTGTTGGGGCACCCGATTTTTTGGAGGATGGTCCAGAGAATGCTGTGATTCACTGTGTTGTACCATTATAGAGAATGTACCATTATAGAGAATGAAGGCAGCCCACTCCCCCAGCCCCTGTTTCTAGACTGTTTCTTTATCTGTTTTTAAAGATGTATGACGGAGCCCATCCCACAATACAAGGGACTTCCTTTCTGTACCCATCATAAATAGTCAGTAAAGTGTCTCAAATTCCTACAAAACAGAGGGAAAGAAGACAGGCAGAGATCATCTTCTGAGCTCAGGAGAAAACAGTAAAAAATACATGGGATGGGCGCTGTCAAATTTGCCTGTGTTGAATCGCTTCAGTGATGTGGAGTAAGGGGCATTCCTGAGGATGGTTCCCTACCAAGCATTAACATTTCTTTCCCAAAATCCTACTTCCTTCAGCCTAACATGGTAATTTTTTAAAATTTTTTTTCATGTCTAGAGCGACTTGAATAACTACAAGTCACTTCTGGTGTGAGAGAATTGACCATCTGCAAGGATGTTGCCAAGGGGACACCCGCATGCTTTGATGTTTTACTATCCTTTTAGAAGGCTTCTCTCATGCCCCCACATGGAGGGGAGAGCTGGAGCTGACAGAGGGAGCTCAACTCGCTTTCCCTGGATTCAGACTGCTGTCCTGTTGGTTAGAGGTCCTGATGGCACAAGGATTTAGTCCATTGCACCATCAGAGGCTCCTTTAAAATTAATGCAATCATTAGAAATACCAAAATTTCAATATGTCTTTTTTTCCTTTAATTTCTCCTTTATAGTATTCTTGTCTTTTGAAATTGCAGTACTACTAGATTCTTCCACAATAGAGAGCACTCAGTTTGGGAGGAAAGCCCCATATCCCCAAAGTGGTGTCTAGTTAAGATCAATTTCTCAGGTCTACTCCAGAGTAGTGGGATTGGAGGGAAAAGCCCAGTATCCAGTTTTGTTTTCAAGTTTTTTTAATGGTGGGAACTGCACTTGCTCTTGTGATAAATCTGAAAATGGATGATTTCAGGATAAAAGGCAAGAAAGAACTATGTGTGATGGGATCTGAGAAACAATATGATTTGCTTTCTAATACAACGGGACAACACCATGGTAATATGAACCCACTCCCCCGGTGGGATAATGTGGATGGGTAGGAAAGGCATAATTTACGGTATGTTGTTTGGCTTTCTCTTAGATTATGCACTTTGACTTGGACGATGGGCTATTTAACTGCCAGAGAGATCCATTAGGATTTTGCTGCTGTAATTCAACAATTGAATCTGATACAGACTTCTATGTTTAACCACACTTAAGAGAACATCTCCAATGACCAATCTTGATAAAATAATTAAGAGTAGAGACATCACACTGGCAACGAAGATCCACATAGTTAAAGCAATGGTATTCCCCATAGTAACCTATGGATGCGAGAGTTGGACCATAAATAAGGCTGAGCGAAAAAAGACAGCTTTTGAACTGTGGTGTTAGAGGAAATTTTTGAGAGTGTCTTGGATTGCAAAAAGATCAAACCGGTCCATACTCCAGGAAATAAAGCCCAAGTGCTCATTGGAGGGAAGGCTATTAGAGGCAAAGATGAAGTACTTTGGCCACATAATGAGAAGACAGGAAAGCTTGGAGAAGACAAAAATACTGGGAGAAATGGAAGGAAAAAGGGAAGAGGGGCCAACCAAGGGTTAGATGGATGAATATTATCCTTGAATTGACTGGCTTAACCTTGAAAAACCTGCTGGTGGTGATGGCTGACAGGGAACTCTAGCGTGGGTTAGTCCATGAGGTCACAAAGAGTCGAAAACAACTGAATGAATAAGCAAAAAAGAGAACATCTACACTTCAGAAGTAATCCAGTTTCATACCACTTTTAACTATTATGGCTCAATGTTATGGAATGATGGGTGTTGAAGTTTGGTGAGACACTGGTACTCCTCGGTAAAGAATGCTAAGAACTCCCAGAATTCAATTGCATTGAACCATTGTGTTAAAGTGGCATCAAAACTGTGTTAAGTTTATAGTACAGAGCTATCTTTAAATTGACTTCAAGTAAAGGAAAATATTTCACTGTTACGATCTTCTCAATGGCATGGGTAGTTTGTAATTTTTGTGTTGCCATCTATATCCATGCTCTTGCGCTCACATGGATAAAGGAACGTGAAGTATTCTGCATCCTCAAAACCATTTTCTCCAGCTGGGTCAGGCCCCAGTAGTTTTGGGTCACAACTCCCATCCTCTTTAAGCAGCATGCCCATTATTCCCCAAAATGGAGCCCAACACGTGTGTAGACTTGGGAGAAGAGTGCCTTTGTTTGTAGACTTCAGACTTTATCCCCATATATAACATGTGGATGCTTGTTGATATTTCATGCTGATCAAGCTCCTTGCCCCAGGCTGCCATATCTATAGAAAGTTTTACTTTCCACCCTGTCCTCCAGATGCCTTTAAGCTGCCACTTAATGTGAGAGCTGCTGGTTTATTTATAGCTGGCATATAATCACACT